TGAGGTGACATCGACAGTGGGATAGTGTTGTAAGAGCGGTTACTTGGCAAAACGAGCCGCGTCTACATTAAGAGCGGCTAGATCTGAGCCGCACCTCCGAATATGGTCGCCGAATAGTAAAAATGACGTACTGAAATTTAAATTTTTCAAACGACCTCTGATGGAGAAATGAACAAAACAAAAGTTGTACATCTCGAAAAGTTAAAAAACTTTGTCGTTGACAATTTTTTATTTGAAATCATTTTGTCAAGGAAAACTACATTTAAATTTATCAAATTTAAAATTTAAATTTTTTAAACGACCTTGGATGGAGAAACAACCAAAACAAAAGTTGTAGATCCCGAAAAGTTATACAACTTTGTAGTTGACCACTTTTTCATTTGAATTCGTTTAGACTCCGAAACACTCATTTTAAATTCGGTTGAGTATAGGTCGTGGGTTTGAACCCCCGGCGGCCGTGAGGCGCGCATTTTTCACGCATAAAAATGCACGACTTGCGGCTAGTGACGGTGTGGGCGTGTGGCTGCCCGATGGAGCCTTCCAAAATTAATTTTTTTTTGCTAAATTTGTATGGGCTTGAGAACCACCCCTATAAATTGTCGATTTGTAGAGGCCTATGGGTGGAGGCGGCTGGACAAACCGTCCCTACAAACCCTCCTGAGCTGCCCCTACAAACGTTTTGTGCAGTAGTGTTTACTGTGTTAATTTGGTAGCCTGACGTAGCACATGGGACGGTCTCATCCGGTGCAACATGCCTGGCTGCATCGATCCATCGAGCCTGGCTGGTGGTGTGCATCGTGGGTTGGTAGGCTGTGCGGACTATCGAGCCTGGCTGGTGTTCTACGTACCGAGCCTGACGCTGGTGTTGTGCAGCGTGCGTTGGTAGCTAGGCTGTGCGGACTAGAGAGCAGACGTACATACAGACTCCAATCACCATCTGTCAGGACCAAGCGGCGGCGGGCACTATTGTGTCAACACAACAGTTCAGCTAGTTCGGGTATTAGGCCGCAGTGCCCGTTTTTACCCAAAATAGTAGAAGCCTGCATTATCTAATATTAATTAATTTTGATGTCATTGGGACACATTTATCTTTGTTTTAGGGCTCGGGTTTTTTGTTCTAAAATACTACTAAGAGCTATTGTTTATATTGCCTTGACTTGCATCTATAGTTCTATCTCTTCTATATAATATTTGATTGATACTGCATTATCTAATATTTTGTTTATTTCGGGTAGTTAGGGAATACTTGAATCAAGACACTGAAATTTCATCTCTTCTAAATATTTTGGGTTTTGTTTATTTGTAGTTAGGGAATACTTGAATGTCGAAATATTGGGTACTATTGTGTCAACACAAATTTCAAGTATCAATTTTGAAAACCCAAATCATATCTTACTATTATTAATTAGAAGTTTCAACAGAGGCACCGAGTGTTTTTGGGGGCCTGACACTCGGCAAAGCTCCTGTATCCGGTAGTGTGCCATATACAGAGGTATTGTATCATCGAGGATTTCCATTCTTCCAGGGACAATATGTACGTGTACTGGATTATGCAAGCAATTGCAGATTACTTTGATGTGTGCTTACTTTGATGTGTGCATTCAATTCTTACACTTTGCATCATTCGTGATTATGTCACATTGTCTCCGAAGCTGATTCCTTTGCATCATTTAATTTGTCTCCGAAGCTGATTCCTTTGCATCATTCATGAATGTCATATTGTCTCCGAAGCTGATTCCAATATGGCACTGTGTTGTGATACCGACGCCTAATGCAGAAGCGACTTGGATCTATCTAGGCGAGATTGTCACGAGAGATCGCATACACCGTACAAGAGACTCGATATTTGGTAACGAGATTCGACTGAAGCCTATGTCCTCGGGGCATGCTTACGGACGCTCCTCCCGAAAACCGCGAGACCGGTCGCTCGGGGTGCCACACTAGTACAAAAAAGTTTTTTTAGGGACGGTTAAAATCGATCTTCAAAGGAGGTTGAAAACCGCTACTATGTCACCGGTTGTAAAAATAGTTTATTTCTAGGGGAGGATCAATGACCGACTCTGAAAAAGCATTTTCAAAAGCGGTTATGTTAAGCCAACCGATACTGAAAACCTATCTAGGGACGGTTTTGTTGTGCGAACCGTTCTTAAAAACATGTTTACAGAGTGGGACGGTCTTAGAAACGGGCTCTGGAAAGGAAAAAGTCTACAAAATACCCAACTATTCAGGGTGGACTACTTCATACCCCAAACTATAACCCCCTCAGAGCGGTTTTGGACGGTGGTTTTGCTACAGTGATTGCTTTTTTCTTTTTCTTTTTTATTTATTTCTACTGAATATTTGAAAAATCAAAGTAAATCACAAAAAAAATCATAAAATGGAAAACCTAATTTTGTTAGACTCCACATGAGTAGATCTACACAGTGAACATATAATATGGTATGTTTTAGTACAAAGTTTTTGTTGTAGCTTTAGATCTATGATTTTTGTAATTAATTGGAATAATTCATAACTGCAGCTTCTATGGTCTAATTGTGGTGAAATTTTTATGGTGGGATAATTATTGTATGCTTGAATTGTAGTAAAAATTTCATACTCATTGGTTTATGTATAACTTTGTTATTGATTTATTTAGATTTATGCTTGTTAAATCTATGCTTTATCTATAACTATGTTATACATGGTCCAATGAGTACAAAATTTTACTATAGTTCAAGAATAAAATAATTAGCTCATTATAAAAATTCACCGTAATTAGACCATAGAAGCTGCAGTTATGAATTATTCCAATTAATTATAGAAAAGCATAGATTTAAGGATATAACAAAAACTTTGTACTAAAGCATACCATATTATATATTCACTGTGTAGATCTACTCATGTGGAGTCCAACAAAATTGAATTTTTTATTTTATGATTTTCTGTGATTTATTATGATTTTTTAAATATTCAACGAAAATAAATAAAAAGAAAAGGACAAAATCACAAAACCGCTTAGGGGTTATTTGACCGGTTTTAGAAAATTCAGGGTAGGAAATCCGGTTTTATAGTCTGGGGTGAGGTAGCCCACCCTAAATAGTTGAGGCTACGTAGACTTTTTTCCTCCGAAAACGATTTTTGAGAATAAAAAAAGCTCGCCGGCGGCCATGCCACCGTGGCCGACCAGCACGCCCACGCCAAGCCACCACGCATGGCCAGCTCGCCGGCCTTGTCGTGCAGTGCCGCAAATCGGTTCTGTACAGTCGCGCAGGCCATGCTAGGCAGCCAGCCGCGCGCCGCTAGATGTGCCTGGCTACACCCCACACCGTCATTGCGGCCGCGCTGTCGCAGCCACACCGGCCGTCGTCGCGGGCGTGCCGTTGCTGCCGCGCCGTCGTTGCCACACCTTGGTTGCGGCCGCACCGTCGTAGTCACACCTGCTGCTTCTATAATTAATTTTATTATTAATATCTAAACGCATAATATGACAATAAATATAATATCTGATGTAATACCTCCTAAATTTTAGTACGCATCAACACCCTCATGTATAGAAAGAAAACATGTGTTTCTATCGAGCCTGTGTTGTGCAGCGTCGTGGGTTGGTTAGCTGTGCGGACTACCTACTAGCCTGGCTGGTGTTGTACAGCGGGTTGGTGGCTGTGCGGACTACGGAGCGTGGCTGGCGTTGTGCAGCGTGCGTTGGTCGGCTGTGCGGACTAGAGAGCAGACGTACATACAGACTCCAATCACCATCCACTACTGGATTCAGGTTCTTTGCCGAGTGCCCCAGACACTCGGCAAAAGCTAAATTATATTTGGCAAAGCCTTTGCCGAGTGTGGCACTCGGCAAAAAATTGATCGACAAAGACCTCTTTGTCGAGTGTCTTTTATCGGGCACTCGACAAAGGCTTTGCCGAGAGCCTCGGGGACACTCGGCAAAGAAAAGTGACCGTCACAACGCCGAATCCGTTGACAGTGGCTTTGCCGAGCGCCAACCCTGCAGGCACTCGGCAAATTTTTTTTATTTTTTTTAAAAAAAATTCTTTGTCGAGTGCCCACTGGCCGGCGCTCGACAAAGTTTGAATTTTTTTTAAAAAAAATCTTTGCCGAGTGCCCTCTTGCCGCCACTCGGCAAAGTTTGATTTTTTTAAATTCTTTGCCGAGTGCCCCTTGGCGGCACTCGGCAAAGTTTGAATTTTTTTTTAAAAAATTCTTTGTCGAATGCCCTCTGATTTTTTTATAAAAAAAATTCTTTGTCGAGTGGCCTCTGGCCGGCACTCGGCAAAGTTTAAATTTATTTTTTAAAAAAATCGTTGCCGAGTGCCCTCTTGCCGACACTTCGGCAAAGTTTGATTTTTTTTAATTCTTTGCCGAGTGCCATGGTCATGGCACTCGACAAACTTGGAAAAATAGTTTTTCGAGCGCCCATTTTCCAGCTTTGCCGAGTGCTGTGACCACGGCACTCGGCAACGGGGTCCTTTGCCGAGTGCAACACTTGGCAAAGTGACCCAAAACGGCAATTTTTAATTATTTTTTACATTCCATCCTGACAAATAAATTCATACAATCATATATCTCATCCATCACATATATATCTCATCCATCACATATATATCTCATCCATCCACACATCCATCCGCACATATCACATCCATCACAATATATATCACATATATAATAATAAGTGCTCAAGTCCATCCAAATAAATCCACAAGTCCATCAAAGTCCACAAGTACATCACAAGTATATCACAAGTCCATCACCAAGTGAACAAATGAAAAAAATACAACGTGCACTCATCTCGGCCACTGCGACTATGGTGAAGGCCCAGCTCCATCATTCGGAGGTGCTTGAGGTGGATTATTCGAACCACCGTCAGATGGAGACTGCACAAAGGAGAAAAGATTGCATATGAGACAAGATTATTTGGACGAAGTATATAACAAAAGCACAAATTCTGGATTTAACAAAGCTACCAGACCACTGGTAGCTGGCGGTACTCATGCATTCATAGCTGGTTACTGCAAAATAACTATTTCCAAGGGGAACTGAGTTGGCCTTTTTCTCTGAACAAAAATAAAAGAACAGTAAGCTACTGTGATTTGGTAGGATTTTCTGATCTTCTGGCAAATAATGGCAGCGCCCATTTAGCAGGGAATGAAATAATATGGCATTGAGATGGAGATGCTATTTAAATCTGAATGATATTTGGAGTGTAAATTGAAAATTGTGGGCGGATTCAGTACAATAAAAAGAACCATAACCTATCTTCATTCCTATTTAGCGCCAAAGTCATCATTTTCTCACACTATATCCTCAGCATTACAATTTTCAAAAATAGTGTGTTACTACAATCGTATCACCAAATAGGGAACTTAAAAAATCCAAAAATAAATTCTGAATCCAAACAATTTTTGCAAGATTATATTATTTTGGTTCCTCGTGGTAAGGTAAGTCAAAATTTTAGGTTTATCCTCTGCATGAAAATAGTGAACACAGCACTCTTAATATAAACATCATACATGGTAGCACAAAACATGAGAGCAACAATAGGAAAGTGAAAAAAAAGGCTGCTTAACCTTTTCCGGATCAAGAACCATAAGGCAAAAGGCATCTACTGGGCCAGCTAATGGATCGAGATGAACGCCCTTAACGTGCTCGTCATCTAGAACTGGAATGCCTGGCTGTGGTCCTAAGTACTGCAATCTCGACTTCACTGAACTTGAAAACCATGCTTTCTCCCTGTGCTGTGAAAGAAGTGAGAACCATTGTTTACCACGGATTGAACAGAAAACTCTATTTTACATGAGAATACAACAAGGTAAGCGATAGGGCTATTCGAAGAAGCATATACAAAAATTTTGACAGGTTGTTGAGGTGACAAGAACATATGGTTGAACCTAATAAATGAGCAAAACCCAGGTATGAACTTGAAGTAAAGCTATACTAAGCTAAACTACTAGAAACAAAGTTCTCAGTGATCTGATGAAATTTAGCACCACAAGTTAGTGTGATGATTTCGTCACAATATTAGCAGCTAAAAGAATACTAAAGGGGAAAACCAAATAACAAAAGGATGCACTACAGCCTACAGGCAAATAAATGTAACCCCCTTTTTAAGCAATCAACGAATAACAATCCCTGTCCTGACACCTAAAACAGTATGTCACGGGGGTGATCAGGAAACACCAAAAGCTCCTAGCAGCATACAGAAAATGAAAGACCTACGCACTGTTTACATGTTGCTTGGGCATTTTGTTAGAATTTTAGAACCAAGAGAATCACAGAAGTTCAACTCAGCCAGTGGATATTATCCTTGTTTTAATTTAACTGGACTTGCATTAAATATTCCCAACAATCATGCTACACGTAAATTTGGGGTCATTTAAAGACTCCTTTTCTGGTAGATCTATCCAAAGACAAAACACAGCCCAACCTTCCATGTTCCCAGTGGTTTGCTCGATGACTCAACTTTTCTTTATATATAATATATATCGAATAAGGCATCCCATAATCAAATTATTCACAATTAACACCATCAATTAAACTTTCTTTTTTGGAGAAATCTACAGCAGAAGCCACGAACTGTAATGATACAGGTTTGAAGATGCACTCCTAAGACTTCTGCGGATCTTCTATGATTATTAGTTAGGATCTCTAATCATTTGAGGGCAGTCCACCCAATTTTTAGCGCTAGATCTCAAACCTGCTTTTTGGTAAAAACTCTCCGTAAGGTAGCACAAGTTTCTACTTGCAGAAAGTGCTCCACAACCGTTTCGGGGAATCAACGACTAGACAGTAGCTACGCCCCCTCATTGTCACCATCTCAGTAACCCCAATTCGATCTTACTTCCTCCAGCACCAGCTAACAAGAGCAAGAGAATCGAGGAGTACGAGTACCTGCAGGAGTGGGCAACGAGGCGGAGTCCATCCGTGGAGAAGCCGGTGCACTTGTCGAGCTTGAGCTCCTGCAGCATGTGGCCCCTGGCACGGACGAGCTCGGCGAGGTCGTTGTCCGTGACGACCATGCGGCGGAGGTGGAGCGCCTTGAGGCACTCGAGCGGCGCGGCGAGCTCGGTGACCCAGGGGCGGGCGTAGGCGCCCCAGTCGTCGGGTATGAGGCCGTACATGGCCGCGCGGGGCTTCCCCTTCACGGACAGCGACTCGAGCCGCGGGAACTGCGCGAGCAGGCGCGCCGGGGACACGGCGTAGCAGAAGGGCACCGTGACGTGCTTCCGCGAGAGCGCGGGCGGGGGCGGCGGCGCTGGCGGGCGTGCGGGCGGCCGGGCACGCGGGCGCGCGGGCGGTGGCGGCGGGTGGCGCGTGTGCGGGTGTGCGTGCGTGTGTGCGGGGTGCGTGGCCGGCCCAGGGGTTAAATCCCTCATCGCCGAGTGCCTCCGATCTATCACTCGGCAAAGTTTTTTAAAAAATTCTTTGCCGAGTGTCCCAGATCTAACACTCGGCAAAGATTTTTTTTGAAAAATATTTTGTCGAGTGCTCCTGACACGGCGCTCGGCAAAGAATTTTTTTTTCGAAATGTCTTTGCCGGGTGCCCCTGTGAAGGTCGGCAAAGTGGAATTTTTTTTTTAAAAAAAATAAAAACCCTCTTTGCCGAGTGCCTTATTCTTGGCACTCGGCAAAGACCCCATGCACTCGGCAAATTTTTTTTTTGGCCTCCAAATTTTTTGTGCGGTCCTTTTAAGGAATAAGGAACTCCTAGTTAGAATTTGGTGATTTTTGTGGTTTTTTGATATATTTAGTTACTTTATTTTGTTTACTTGAATTTTTTGAAAAATATAAATTTAAACTGCACGTGGTACGAATAATGGAATTTAATGATTCAAAAAATGATAGTCATGTTATTGAGTGTAGTGTGAGGTCGTATCCAGGAACGAACTCGAAATTTCGGACATCTTGTTTACGAAACATGACCGCGAACTTGCGTGCGAAGTGTTTTTAAATTCTATAAAAAGCAAATGAAGTCCGAAAATCATGAAACTTGTTGAGATGTCGTGATATTGTATGTGGAGGCTATGATAAAAATTTGAGAAGGTTTAGTGCACATTGTCACGTACGATGCTTACAAACTAGGACATCTCCACATATGATATCTGATATGTAATGTGGAGATGTCCTGGTTTATAAGCATCGTACGTGACAACGTGAACCAAACCCTCTCAAATTTTTATCATAGCCTCCACATACGATATCACGACATCTCAACAAGTTTCATGATTTTCGGACTTCGTTTGCTTTTTATAGAATTTAAAAACACTTCGCACGCAAGTTCACGATCATGTTTCGTTAACAAGATGTCCGAAATTTTGGGTCCGTTCGTGGATACGGCCTCACACTACACTCAATAACATGACTATCATTTTTTGAATCATTAAATTTCATTATTCGTACCACGTGCAGTTCAAATTTATATTTTTCAAAAAAATTTAAGTAAAGGAAATAAAGTAACTAAATATATCAAAAAACAACAAAAAGTCTCCAAATTCTAACTAGGAGTTCCTGGTACCTTAAAAGGGCTGCACATAAAATTTGGAGGCAAAAAAAAAAAAACTTTGCCGAGTGCCGGGGCATGACACTTGGCAAAGGGGGTCTTTGCCAAGTGCCAAGAATAAGGCACTCCGCAAAGAGGGTTTTCATTTTTTTTTTAAAAAAAATCCTCTTTGCCGAGTGCCTTCCCAGGGGCATTCGGCAAAGACATTTCGAAATTTTTTTTTGCCGAGCACCATGTTAGGGGCACTCGACAAAGTATTTTCAAAAAAAAATCTTTGCCGAGTGCCAGATCTGGGACACTCGACAAAGAATTTTTTTTAAAAAAAAACCTTTGCCGAGTGTCAGATCGAGAGCACTCGGCAAAGTATTTTTCAAAAAAAAATCTTTGCCGAGTGCCAGATCTGGGACACTCGGCAAAGAATTTTTTTTAAAAAAAATACCTTCTTTCCGAGTGCCTAACAACAGCCACTCGGCAAAGAAGGACGTGGCCGAACACCATTACGTGGGGCAGCCTATGCCGAGTGCCGTGCTTTTGCCGAGAGCGTGGCACTTGGCAAAGAAGTCCTTTGCCGAGAGCCTTTTTTTGTGCGAGTGCAATTCTTTGCCGAGTGTGGCACTCGGCAAAGAAGGTCTTTGCTGAGTGCCCGATTTTTAACACTCGACAAAGCAGTTTGCACTCGGCAAAGATCCCGTTTCCAGTAGTGATCTGTCAGGACCAAGCGGCGGCGGCGGTCACTATTGTGTCAGCACAATAGTTCAGCTAATTCGGGTATGCAGTACCCGTTTTACCCAAAATAGTAGAAGCCTATATGTACTGTATATATGTGATTTGATTGATACTGCATTTTCTAATATTAATTAGTTGTGATGTCATTGGGACACATTTATCTATGTTTTAGGGCTCATGTTTTTTGTTCTGAAACACTACTAAGAGCTATTGTTTATATTGCCTTGACTTGCATCTATAGTTCTATCTCTTCTAAATATTTATACGGTTTTGTCGATTTCACGTAGTTTGGGAATACTCGAATCAAGACCTGAAATTTCAGTTACCGAAATATCGGGTACTATTGTGTCAACACAAATTTTAAGTATCAAATTTGAAAACCCAAATCATATCTTACTATTATTGATTGGATGCCCCAATGGAGGCATCACATCACCATATGCTAAACTCTAGAAACTATCACAATAATCAGAAACATCTAGCCTTTAATTTGATAGAATATTACCCATCTCTGCCATTATAAGATGCATAAAGTAACCCCTAATCTTGCATCAAAATTACCAAAAGTGAATTTGACCCCGCCGTGGGTTTTGATGTATTAACTAATGGCATCCAATTTAGGAACTAACATGTTTATTGAAGTATATTGCAGTTCTTATGTCCATGAATTTAGATGATTTCAAGGATGTGGTACCCCCTCAATTCGTTAGTTGAAAAGTTTCTGGACTCGAAGTGGTTTAAATTTGTTTTATATTTTGAATTTGAGTTCAGAAAACCTCGCACTACAAAGAGGGATGCAAATCATATTGGTCTGAGGGAGATAAAGTGCTAAAGTACCTATTAAAAGCTATTGAGAGACACTTGAACACAGCATGGGCACTTTGGCTGAGTTTTAAAAGTTGGCTACATCAGAAGTTCCGATAGGCCTCAGAAGTTTTTTTATGTATCTTTGTACAACCCAACCCAAGCGCCGTCGGAAGGAAGTTACCTGCTTCCGGCCATTGGAAGTTCCAACGTGTCGAAAGTTTCGATGTTGCGTGCGCACAGAAACAGTGGTAGGCCGAGCAGCAGAAGCAGGTGCAGGACACAGTCCTTGCTCCAGATGAGCACGTACTCATGGTATTTCTTTATCCGTGGCGATTCACCTATGAACTCTTCAGTAATTGACATCTCGATGATGTGTTAATCACCCATGTGTAACTTACATGTGTTTCAGTTTTGGAATACCAAAATCTGTATAACGAAAGACGTGCAACAAGGAATGAGTATTGTTTTCTGAAACGAAATAGGCTTGAGAGCTGGCGATTATATTGAAAAGAAGATGAAACCCAGATTGGGCAAAATAAAAAATGATACTGTTGGGATAAGGGTAGAAGGCTTCTTGGTGGAGGCTGCGGTCACTCGGTGAAGGGTTCATGCGGGGGTCACAAAGGTCTCATGTGGAGATCCCTAGACAAAGGTCTCGGACAAAGGCCGGTTGGATGAGGTCCCCCGACGAAGGTTCCGGGTAGAAGGTCCCCGGACGAAGGCTCGGGGCGAAGGTCCCCGAACCAATGCCTAGGGAGGGGACTCATTAGGTTTTGCGAAAATGAGAGTGGGAGAGAGCCCCTTGCCCTCATGCTCTTGGCATTATACAGGCAACGACAATTTACAAGCGACATCGAGGTGAAAATTGACAAGCCACTACACTAGCCACCCCTTGTTGATGGAATATTGTCGATAGTCCAACGAGGGGTATACCCATGATGGTAGATTGTACGGAGAGGTGCGCGTGAACAGGAACTAGATAGCAACAGAGACACAAGATTTAGACAGGTTCAGGCCGTTAGCTCGACGTAATACCCTAATCCTTTGTTCTGTTGGCTTGCATTGCTGGTGTATGAGATGGAATGATTTTTGAGGGGTCCCCTACCCGCCTTATATAGCCAGAGGTAGGGTTACAGGTCGGTTAGGTCTAAGTCTAATCGGGCAAGCGATAATCTTTAGAAGGAATAAAAAATTCTGTATATCCTAACAGATTGATCGCCATCTTCAGGATATCTACTGGAGGCATTGTGGTGCATGCCGACTAGTGCCGTGTGCCACAAGTCTTGATGTCATGGGCTGGACAGTCCCTGATGGTGTGGCCCATGTCCCTTGCCGTGGGTACCTAGGGTTATATCCCCACAGCTAGTCCCCAAATGCCTTGTATCCTTGAGCAATGCCGTCTTGAACAAGTCCGAGCAGTTTAAAGTGAAGCTGACCAGTTTAACTAGCGATTCGACCAGTTTAACTAATGATCTGAGCGGTGAAAATGGACGCCGACTAGTTTAACTGGTTAACAGACCAATAAGCAAGAATGCCGACCAGTTTAACTGGTTAGCAGACCTCGGACTTAGCCAAATAAGACTTGCCAAAATAATGTAAGGAGCTCAAGATTAAATTTTAAAAATTCTTTACCTTAGGTGAAGCGTACACACTTAGATGTCGTTGGTGATGTCAGATGATTATGATTTAGTCATATGAGAAAAGTAGAGGCATGTGATTATCATCCTTGACTTAGGCAGTACAAGCGCTTAGCACTTAAACAAAAACAGTACATGCACCGCAAGGTGCAGTGTACACACTGTAGTCCCAGGCCTAACAGTAAGTGAAGAATGCACCTAGTGCCAGGATCAGATAGAAGACTCCAGATGCTTAACCGATTACACAGTCAGTCACGAGCTTATCTGAGAACCATTAACAGGAAGAAAAAATAGTACACTCACCGCTAGATGAAGTGTACACACTTAGTCCTCGAGTCTGCTGGAAAATGAAGAAATAAATCTTGTAGCGGGGTCAAAGAAATTAAGTCAAAATATTTTCGGAGATCAAAGAAGTGGAGTGCTTAGCACTTGATCGTTGCGATTACCGATC